TCCATCATTGCAAAGTCCTTACTATTTCTCTCAACCTTCTCCTGTCACATTTTTTTCCTTTGCTTTCTCTTTTGTTATTCAGTTTGTCTTGTGAATCGACAGAATTTTAACCACTCTGGTTGAAATTCTGAGATGACAATGAAGATTTCTCCATGAGAATTAGTTTGTGGAGTGCGTTGTGCTCTTCCAGGAATGTTATCTCATAGTCTTGTGGTCGTATTATCACTCAGATATTGATTGACAGATGATCAATAATAGTAATTATGATTTAAAGTGCTTAAAATGTGTCTTCCCTGTAAGTAACACAAGTTTTGACTCATTTGCATTACCCATTCTAGCACCTCATCAGTATTTTTTTACACAGTGAATGACTTAATGATCATCGTTGCTATTCATAATTTTACTAGTCTCAGTCTGAACCTTATAACCACTTTTAGATTTCCCCTAGGCAGTAACCTCTCATGGCTCCACCTGTTCTTACACCCTCACACAGATGACTCCCGACGACAACATCCTGTTCAGCACCCTGGAGATGAAGAATGAGATGGGTGGTGGCGGGGATCTGTCACGGGGCCTGGGAGCACCCGGAGACCCCCGCAACACCATGCTGGCCTATGATAGCTCGACGCTGCAGTACCGCAGGGCAGCCATGGCTCGCCAGAACTATGGCCACAGCGCCTTGGAGCGCCACGCCCAGAAGAAGTCGCGCCTACGGAGACGGGCTTCCCAGCTCAAGGTGAATATCCCAGACCTGTCCGACGTGAACTCTATTGATAAGTGGTCCAGGATGATCTTCCCCACCGTCTTCACCTTCTTCAACGTCGTCTACTGGCTCTACTACGTCCATTAAACCCGGCGGCGTCCAGTGGCCAGCTTGCAAAGAAGGGGGGTGGGATGGGGGGTTTAGAGTAGATGGAAGAAATCATGAGAGAGAGAGATGATGGGAGAGAGAGAGAATGAGCAAATGAGAGATAAACAGTGCACCAACTTTTTTTAGCTGGTTCATTTTAGAAAAAGCGAAGAGAAAGCAAAGACTTTTGGATGGACTGCAGCAGCACCCAACACTTCAGTCAGCAGTGACTCTTTTAGGATTTGGGAAACACCTTTAAACGACTGACAAACACTCGAAAAAGAAGAGCGAATTTTAAAAAGACAGAAATGGTGCCTGTTCCAGAATTTCAATATATCACTAATATTTGTCATTCGTAGCTTACTCTCTGTGGATCAAATATTTATGCTTGTGTTTGCATATACTTTAAGGATTTGTTTTGTTTAGTATCTATTTACTTCGTAGCCAAGCTGTCTGCATCCAGGAAAGCTTTATAAATGATTTTAAAGGAGTCATCCTTGATAGTCTATTTTCCTATAATTACTGTATATCAAAAACATCCTTTAAAAGCATGCTTATGTTTGATTTCATTTGCATCTCAGTCATGATGACGATGGAGCGCAAAGCATTTTAGTTTCACTAGTTGAAGTTAGTCTGTCAGTTACTATTTTGCAGCTTTGGCTTAGGATGGCCCACCTGGGTGGACGGTTTGAGCATCGCTGGATGACAACAGGTGAACAGCAGGGGGCGCTCTTCTCTCTGGACATCCCTGTGGGGCTTTAAGGTGCCAATGCCGAACAGAAGAAGCTTCCTCAGTTGTCATCCAGTGAAGAAGCGGGACTGTGGGACTCTGACGCTTTTGGCCAAGTTTTTGTTTTGCTTTTGCTGTGCTGACAGAATCAAGTCCATTTCACCACGTGTTATTTTTTTAAAGGGAACATTTGACTCCTCCGTACTATCTGTCATCGCGTGAGGAGCTTCAGAGGCGGAGAATGGCTTTAACACGACTTAAGCTGGTGTAAGAACTTTGCTGATAGATGAGCTGGGTTTCGTTGCAACCAGAGTTGCTGCATAAATATGGCAATCCACAATCATCATTATCAGTAGATTTGAATGATAGAAGTATGATGCGTTTCATTGTGATTAGGTTTCTGTTTTGAAGAACTGTAGATAAACATAAATCATATTTAAAGAAAAAGAGATGATTCATTTTTATAAATCAATACTCACATTATTGTGTAAATATTATGGATTTATTCTATTTAAATGGGTCTCTGTTGTTGTTTTTGCAGTTGAATTACAGATCAAATGTTCCATTCAGTCAAAAAAAAGAAAAGAGCAATTTAACTGAGGAAAAAGAAAAACACAATTCACAACTTTGCTGACTCTGTACTTTTTGGACTTTTCTCTCTTTACTTTCTTTTTAATGGACTCTAAAAGCATCTACTTGCTAAAACTAAAGCACTTCCAGACACCAGTGACTTTTGGGTCAACGTTTTGTTCTCCAGAGATGACTAAACAAGGACCCCACTATCCAGGCATTGAAGTCAGGCATATTTTGTACAAAGTTTCTGTAAATTCCAATTGTAATATTTCATAATGACTGTAAATATCTTGTGTAATGATTGTCAGCAATTATGAAGATGTATCTAAATTCAATTAAAACTCAATTCAGTCTATCACTTCAATAACAGAGTACACGGCTGGCGGTTTTATGTATCCTGGGTGAATGTGCGGCTCATGATGACTGACTGTCGGGCTCTCGGCTGATTGAGTGTCTGAATGAGCGAGTGCTCATACACTCACAGAGTGAGTGGGCAAGCCACAGCAGAAAATGTAGGGGTGAAAAGAGAGATGTGAGGGCTGCAGCTGGGGACTGTTGGCTGCATAATGGACGGAGAGGCAGAGGAGTCGGAGCGAGAGGCCACGGTGGTGGTCTCGGCTGAGATGGGCTCGGCTGGGGTCTGAGCAGGGCCGAGCAGCAGCCTCGGGGGACATTAACGCAGAGAGCCATCGATGTGGAGGCACTCTGTGGACTCAACTGTGGCCCGCTGGCTGCAGGGGCCAGAGCGCCTGCTCCAAAAAAAAAAAAAGACAGGAAGAGAAAGAAAATAAAAGGGCAAGAAGAGTCGTCCATCCATGCCTCGACTTCTCCCTGCATCCTCCCCTCATTCAGCAAACCCGCTGCACTCTGCACTGCACTGCACTTTCTCCTTGTCCTGACCACTGTTACAGCCCTTAAATGGATGCTATTTCATTTTTGATGGTGCAAAAGACTGAATATTTAATATTTAAAAAGATTTTGTTCTAGCGTGGCCTAATGCACAGCTAATGTTTGATTTTGAACTTGATAGGACCAGAAGAACACAATGAGAGACAAACAGAGGGGGGATGTTTTAACTGAGGAAATATATGATGAACATTATGAATCAGAATTAGGGATAAAAGCAGGAAAAGAGGAGTTTGAGACTGTTAAATGTTTCAGTCCCGCTTTAAACACAAAGAGAATCATGTTTGAGGATTTTATAGCTGCAGTTTGTTTTTGAGATAACAGTAGAGACCCACATGGCCTGTGTGTGTGTGCGCATGTTTGTTTGTGTGTGTGTGTGTGTGTGTGTGTGTGTGTGTGTGTGTGATGCTTCTGGATGTAAAAACTCAGTGCAAAACTACATAAAAAAATAAAATGGTGTAAAAACTGATGTAATGCGACATGTAACCTTGTTCCAGGTTCTTCCATGCATTGGTAGAAATCGGCTATACAATACTGTTCCCCTGACTGTAACAGATGTATTATTTCACTACAGTAGACAGATGGTTTGTGTTTAATTGGCCCGCTCTCTCTCTCTCTCTCTCTCTTTTCCTCTTTTCAAAAAGGGCATTAGTGTTGACATGTAAGAGAGGGGGGGACAAGGCAGATGCTTTCTACTTTGTAGTGTTTCCATGTCACTGGAGTAATTAGGAATGCACAGACCTCTGCTCTGTGGAATCGTGTGTGTGTTTTGTTTCCAAGAGTGTGTTTTGTTCCTGTGTGTGTCTGTGTGTGCAGTGTGGACTCACAGCTGCGCCACTGTGCACTGGGCGTGCCAGCCAAGCCAAACCCAGCCAGAGCTGACTGGGATGGGTGAGAGGGTGAGTCTGGCATGCCGCTCACCCTGCTATAAACGAATCGGATGGAAAAACATGCTGAGCTATACCCAGCAGAGATGAACCCACCTGTGTCAGCTGTTCAAGGGCAAAACAGGAAGCCATTTCAATTCTTTGATTGATAATAAATCACCTGCAAGGTCGTACATGGCACCCGTTAAAAAAAGACAATAAAGGCTCATCTATCTCCATTTATAGGCAATTTTCCAATACCGCCTCTATATGCTGTGTATCAAATATTTAACCAGGTACATCAAGTTTCATTACAATGGCTGTAACTGTGTCTGAAATTTAAATTCAAGTACAATAAATGAGTGACCCAGTGCAAATTTGGCCTGATTAAACAGGTTCTGGAACCTGCTCTGGAAAAGACAACATATGTCAACATGAGGAAGTGGAAAGCATCCTACATGCATGCCATCTGTGCAAGAAGACACTTTGTTGTAGTCCGTCATACGTGAGAGTCTCACATACATACTGTACATGTAAAACGATTCATTCACCCTATCCTGCAAACTTTGACCCATCAACAACATTTTGCTAAAGTGTCTTTTATTGGCAAGAAATCTTGCTTTGTACACTGACCTCTGACCTCTCAGTGGACGAGGGGAAAGTGAACATATAATTATCTTACATGCACCACTAAAGACTCGTTCTAATTCTTACCTTCAGTCTTATTAAGAGCAATAAAGAATATTTCAGCGTCATTAAACACACCATGGACTGTATTCTCCATCTGTATACTCCTGAATGGGGTGTTCCCTCTGCTATGTTCATTCACACTCTGCAGACTCTTCATATATGTTTGCCTCGAGCATTCGTTGCGCTCTGCTTGGTGTTGTGTTGTCAGTTCAAATCTCCTTATAACCCACTGCACCAATTTTCTGCTCTGTGAATATTAGATTGTCAGCTGTGCATAGCCTATGATTGTTTTTTATTTGGTTTTTTTTGTGTTTAATTTTCAAGTATTAATCGCAATAAAGACTACTTTACTATGCAGGTCACTGAATCATAATGCTGCCGTGTGGATGACTTTAAAGAGTTGAAAACTGGTTTCTACTGAAACGAAAGTATTGACAGCAAAGTTAAATTCAGCTGAGGCCCTGGAGCACCTTCTGCTAAATTTCTGACTGTAATTGGTTACTTTATTTCCCCTCTATGTGAGACTTAAACAGCTCCAGTGCAAGGAATGCAAACACACCTGTCAATGTGAAGGGCGGACCCAGAGGAGGACTAGGTGTGCTGTCATTTGTTTCAACCTGGTGTTAGGCCTCACACACACACACACACACACACTCACACACCGACCCATTCAAGGAGAGGATGGGCCTGTAGAGAGTACTTTTAACTTGAAGGAGCTGTAAGTATTGAGAAGATGAGGAGGAAAAGTTGGTAAGAAGAGGAAAAGAAAAACACACGGAGCAGCTATGACGTTGAAGAGTCCCCTGGACCGGGTGAGAGGGGCTCTGAGAGGTCAGAGAGCACGGGAGAAGGACCTCCGCAACTTGGTGTCCAATCTGCCTTATGAGGGCTTGGGGAAGGCAAAGCAACCCAACCGCTACTTCCCTGACAACGCCATCAAGACCACCAAATACACCCTCCTCCTCTTCATCCCCATGAACCTCTTTGAGCAGTTTCACCGTCTGGCTAACATCTACTTTGTGGGCCTGGCTATTCTGAACTTTGTCCCCGAAGTGAACTCCTTTCAGCCAGAGCTAGCTCTGATCCCCGTCTGTGTCATCCTGTCTCTGTCGGCCCTGAAGGACGCCTGGGAGGACTTCAGGAGGTACCAGTCGGACAGGAAGCTCAACAACACGCCGTGCTTCATCTATAGCAGGTAACTGACTCAAAGACAATCATGTCCTGAATATAGAAACGGTGCAGTTGTGTGGTTCATGCATGATGTAGCGAGTGGAAACACTCGTGGTGCCTAATGATTCTCATCAACCAGCATGTTGATGTCTGTGAGAGTGTGTAGATCTGCGTGATTGTGTGTGTTTTACCTCCTCTGCATTTCAGCATCCCGTGAGAATTTTTGACTTGAAATGGAAAATGTGTGGGAGATTATTCCTCTTTTGAAGAGCCTCACAACAATATATATCTCTCACCATCACATTGTGCACATTTGACGAAATCCTCATCTGGGTGTTGCGTCAGCAAAGACAGTAAGGTTAGCAGTTATCTATTTTTGAATTACTGGTGAAGGATGAATAATTCACAAATGAGGATGAACACAGTCGTTTCAAAACCGTTCACTGCTCTGGATGTGATGTGAGACTGGAGGCCACTCCAATGATGAATCCTCACACATTCAACCTCTGGAAGGGTTTGTCATTAACCAGCATTTGCTTGCTTTCAGATTTCCCATTGTTGGGAAGTGCAGCCTCAGCTCAGGGAAAGTCCTGTATCTTCTGTGTGTGTGTGTGTTTGGTGATAGGGTCCAGGTGGCCTATAAGTGCAGACCCAGATGTAGCATCCCGGACACTTCTGAGAACGCACCAGTCCCTCTGGGCCTGTTAGCGGACGCTAGTCATCTCCGCCTCACACAGTCAGATAAACAGCAGTTGAGTCATGGCGAGCGGGCTCTCGTGGGTCTCTTATTGCTCGCTGGGTGGGGATGCTAAAGCTCCATTTTTGGGCTTCTAAAGATTAGAACAGAATCGATCGGCTGGGATTTCTTTGAAGCATACAAATGTTTCCAGAAGAAGCTCAGGAATACATTTTAGGGCTTCCACACGCTTCCTCATTTTCTCTATCTGGGTGAAGTTTATCCATCTGACAGCTCGAGGAACACACATCCCCGCAGTGCATGTTGAGGTCCACGTGGAAGGCTTTCAGATGAGTGGGATTTAACTCTAATTCACCAGACCTTCTCAGATGCACGTCTTCATTTCCCGTCACCCTTCAGCCACATGTTGTTCTCAAAGAGTTGTGAAGTGTGTCTGTTTGAGCATGAGTGCCTTATCTTTAGGGTCATTCTATCAATCTTGTCTCCATCTCAATCTCTTGTCAATCCACCTGCGCTCAAACGTACCGAACATTTCAGCTATTAATCATGCTGATTGACTCCTAACACATGTCATTGTATTGTTAAATATGTCTAATTTTATCATCTGCTCTCTGCAGAACATGCAGTCACCACACTTAACAGACTGTTCCTTTCTGTGGTTTAAGAGTCCTTTTCATTTAATCTACAGCACATGTATGAATGTGACTAATATCATACCTACTATCAAACCAAACAGGTTATCGTGTCACTATATTTCTGGAGATTTGTCTTCTCCACAAATTACTACATTTTCAAGAGACACATCAGGTAGTCAAATTCACAAGAGCCGCTAAATTTGATGATAAGACAAAGATATTAGTTATCAAAGTGAGATCTTTAAGGCAATTGGAAATATGTTTATTTCTGGCAGAGACATCGTTGACAAGTTTAACAAAAGCAAATAACATATTTCCCAAAATGTGAAAGTATGTAGGTGTAGGATCACTGTCAAACATTTAAAAACGTCCTGAATATGTCTTTAATGAAATATAATCTGTGCAATGAGACAAGAGACAATAGACTTTTGAGAAATGAACTTCCCATAACTGGAAACTGTTAACTAGGCTGTCTGACATACAGAAGACGCACATAAAGCTTATCTGACAGGAGAGAATATATTGGTGCAACCTAGTAAGTATAAGAAACACAACATACTAAAAATACAGACCCCCCTCCCCACTCCCGGCATTGTTTGAGGCGAGGTGTGGTGTCATGTGGCAGCCACCTGATCAGGTCCTACATGCAGGGCAGCATGCCTGCAGCTCTCTGTCATTGGTGGTTAGCCAGCTTGATGTGCAGGTTCAAACCATAACGCATGTGGCTCTTTGGAAATCCTCAAACTCTGGGAACGGCCTTGGCTCATAATGTGTACTGTCTTTCTCTGAAAGCTTCCTTATTCCAAAGCACATAAACACACCTGGGCCGCTCTCCAAAAACAACAGCATTGATTTTTCATTTGGTTGTATTGTTTATTCCCGAACTTAAGCAGCTGTGATTATGTTATCCATACGGAGTGAGTCAATATTTAATTTGATTGCACAAACATAGACAAAATACGCCCACTGTGCCAATATTGTTAATAAATGTGTATACTAATTAATATAAAAGCCACCCAGGGACTGTGTATCTTTATGAAATCATCTGTAATAACTGTTGGTGTCTGACATGTATGATTTCAGAAAGGATAAAAGGTTCACAGAGAGCCGTTGGAAGGATGTAGGAGTGGGTGATTTTGTGAAGGTGGTTTGCAATGAGATCATCCCTGCAGACCTGCTGCTCCTGCATACATCAGACCCCAATGGTGTGTGTCACATAGATACATCCAACCTGGATGGAGAGACCAACCTGAAGCAGAGGAGGGCAATGTCTGGCCTCTGCATCTCAGTAAGGAATACACTTCTGAGTTTTACTTCTCTGCTGTGTTTCCTCACAGTCTTCTGTCTCCATTCCCTCTTTGTTGCGTCACCTTTCTCCTCCTCCTTGTGACTGACATTTAACACAACAACTGTAACATTTCCTGAATATCTGCGGTAAATGTGGATCTTTATGTCAAAGGCTGTAAGTTTACATTTGTACTGTATTGACGTTATACCTCCTCTCATTTCCCAGGATCCTGAATTTGAACCTGAAAGCTTCAACAGTGTTCTGGTGTGTGAAAAGCCTGACAACAATCTCAATCATTTCAAGTGTTATGTGTGAGTATCAACTACACAGATCACATGGATTCCCCAAACAGTGCCTTTAAGCCTTTCAGAGAAGCCGAGTAAAACTAATTCCAACCTACTCGCTGCACTTTCTGATGCCACCAGAGGCATTATTGGGGCTGTAATAGACTATAATCGATTTCCTCAGGCACCGCAGCTCCTAACAGCTGGTCTACCATGGTGTCCAGCCATGGCCATAAAGGAGGGAAATTGCTAATGGGTAACATATAAGCAGTAATGAATATCTAACAAGATCTGACAGTACAAAGGAGGTTTCATACTTTCTCCTGCTGCAGAGAGAAACCTGATAAGGCCAAGGTGGGCGCTGGAATAGAGAGTCTGCTGCTGCGAGGCTGCAAAATGAGAAACACAGACCACGCTGTTGGCTTTGTGGTGTATGCAGGTATATTCTCCATTTTCTCAGCTGTTTCACTGCTTTGACCTTGAGCGTTTAGTGTTTTTGTCCAGGGCCACAGCCAGAACTTTAGACCCCACCCAAAGCTTTCTTCTTCTCACTGCCAACCAAACTCTGGAAAACATTTTAATTTAAAGTATTTTTGCATATTTAACCTTGCAAATGTCCAGTTGTACTTTCTGTACATTTTGTCACCCTACATTACAGGGGTTTAGTTATCATAGTGCCGAGCAATTCCTTTGATTGTAATGTGAATGTTTGCGGATCTGTGAGGCTGTAAAAGGCTTTTTTTCACAGCAGCCATGTTGACATGTCATTGTAGGGTAACCACAGGGGTAATCAACAACAATAATTATAGCCCTGATCTATTTAAGTGGGCCAAGCCTCAGGTATTTTGCATGCTTGATCACTGGATTGACTGTGACACACACTAAATAGACAGGGACCATTATTCATGATATCAATTACACCTATTTTTACGTGACATATATAGCTGGTACAGTATAATTGCATATTCTCCATCTTAGTTTAGCGTGTTAGCATGCTAACATTTGCTAAATGGCACTAAACACGAAGTATAGCTGCTGATGGGAATGTCATTAGTTTTTAAAGTAACGTTTTTTGGTCATAAACTTAATTATTAGACAACTTCTCAACTACTGTGACCTGATGATGCTATATGAAGGATCACCAAAGTTAATACAATGATGCACCATCTGGAACAATGTGTCAATACATTGAGTAGCTGTTTTACGGCTGATATGTCACAGGGCACGAGAAAAATTTGACTTGCTGTTGTCAAAGGACAAGTCAGCGGATCCTCAAAGGCAGTAGGATTCATCTTCCACAGATGTCTGTGCTTCAATTCATCCACTAGCTGTTCAGATATTTAAGTCTGGATCAAAGAGGTGGACCAACCAAATGACAGACAGACTGACATTGCAATACCTAGATCCATGTTGGCATGGTTGATAATTTCAGTCAGTCTTAAAATAACAACATGTGTTTGATGTGTAATAATTTACCCACAAATTTCCTGAAATATTGCAGAGGACATGACCTCAGTGTCCGAGTGTCCTGTTTTTTGTCCTTGCATTAGCTGACCCAGAATAAGCATGTTCTAAAATATAACAATCAGTTTCCCTTGGTGTTCACTGACCATTTGGAGAACCTGTTGGTAACTGAATCAACACCCTCTGATCCCACCTTTAAGGCCATGAAACCAAGTCCATGCTCAACGACAACGGGCCAAGATACAAGCGCAGCAAATTAGAGCGGAAGCTGAACATAGACGTCATCTTCTGCGTCATTCTTCTCCTCAGCATGTGTCTCGTCGGAGCACTAGGTCAGTAATGAATTACATAACTTAACCATAAAATCACTACACAGACTGGTTTATGATTAATGATTTTACATTGATGAAGAGATGTTTAATTTCCAATAAAATATAGGCCCAAAAATATGCTAGTAAAAAAGGGAGGAGACAGGGAAAGGTGTGGTGCCAAAAATAGCCTTCCTCCCTGCACGACAGTCTGTGTGATTAATTCCCCTGTCCTCACACATGCAGGTCACTTCTTATGGCTGCAGGCGCTGCCCAGTGTGCCCCCTTACCTTGTCCCTGACAGCAACGGTCACCTGGACAGTCCCAGTCTGTCTGGCTTCTACACGTTCTTCACCATGATCATCCTGCTGCAGGTGGAGGAGTCTGACTCTGTGTACGAAAGAAAGTATTTAGTGTGTTTTTCCTTATTTGTTAATTAAATTTTTTTAATCTTTTCTCCTCATTTCCTCTAATATCTTCTCTTTCTACCGTCTGTTGTAAACTCTCAACTTAACACTTCCCATCACCTCCTTTTTTTCACTTTCTCTTATCACTTCTTCCTCGCTCTCTCCTGTCTTTCTTGTCTATATTTCAATATTCTCCCCACTCCAACTTTCTCCTCTCCTCTCCTCTCCTCTTCTTTCCTTTCCTTTTTTTCTCTCTCTTCCCCTCGTCTCCTCACTTGCAGGTCCTGATTCCTATCTCTCTCTATATATCCATTGAGTTGGTAAAGATTGGTCAGATCTACTTCATCACCAATGACATCGATCTGCACGATGATGAGACAGACCGACACGTGCAGTGTAAGGCCCTGAACATCACAGAGGACCTGGGACAGATTGAATACATCTTCTCCGACAAGACGGGGACCCTCACTGAGAACAAGATGGTGTTTCGCAGATGCTCCATCATGGGCACTGAGTACCCACACAAAGAGAATGGTAAACTTCATACTGAGACATTTTATTTAACCAAAAGAGCTGTTGCCGCACTGCTTTTCATCATAGGCCCCTATTTATTTATATACACTCGTACAAAAAAACAACAATAATCAGACATAGCACTATCCCAGAGGTCATCAGAGAATTAAGCATGCTAGTTTGTTTCCCCTAAGAGTTTCTTCATTCCACCAAGTCCCGACCTACTGTGCTGTGATTGGCTAGTAGGCAGTAGGCCTACTCGTTGCTTTGACTTTTTGGTTAATTTTGCTCATTGGAGAATTTTGCCTTCGGGGCTTTCTCCCAGAAAGAGTTCCGTTTTAAATCCCAAGCATGATCTTTTCCTAAACCTATCAAAGTAGGTTTGTTGCCTCAACCTAAGGAGATTTCTGGCAGAGGCAAACGTCTCCACTGTGTGCTCGATTTCTGTAACTTTTTGGCATGAAAGTGGAATTAGCAGCCTTTCCCCTCGCCAAACTATACCTTTTGTGTTGCTAGTACAAGTTTAAGAATAGTTATCTCGTCTTTACATAAATGTTTTTCTGTGGCATCCCAGTCTCGCGAGGTGCTAAGTCTTAGTGAGATTACCTGATATGTTGTGATTCTGAGCAGTTTGTCACCTGTTCAGTTGGAATGCACTTCCTGTTTGTCTCTGCGTGTGAAACTTAATTTCCCGTTGTGCTGTGTTGTTTTATTGCCTTGCTTTTGCTGCTTTGTCTGTCAAAGAACTTTGTAAGCTCTGTTTTTAAAGGTAATTATCATATAATTATCATAACTCTGTCTTGCACGTGTGAATCCAAACCTGGATTCTTTTTAATATTGAAATTTGACCATACAGAATACATGTTAAGATACAAAGCAGTGGCGTTAAGGCACAATTTGGATACTCATGAGCCTCTTGTTAATATATTGTTTCCCCTATGTCCCCTGTATATTGTGTTGTGTTCTGATCAGAGACACATCCATTGTTTGCTTCCATATTTGTGATGACTAGCTTCAATCTGATCTCTGTCCAATAGTGTTACTGATTACTTTTTACCCTGGAGTAGAGTTCCCTCTTCCCAAAGTTAATTTATTTGGGCTAATTGAAGTATTGAAGGGCCTTTGATTCCACCTGGGTGGGGCTGTTTAATCCATGTCTTTAGAGTTTAGAGTCTTTTGACACTGAAATTGTAGTCAAAGGCTCCACATTTGAACATGACTTGACCTGACATATAGTCCATATAAAATACAGTACATAATGTATGTATCAACATGTTTTTTTGGGGATTTGCAGCCATCCGCCTAGCTGTCCATGCTGAACCAGAGTCAGGGGAGGAGGTCATCTTCAACAAGCAGCCACAACCCCCACAGACTGGATGGTCCCTGGACACTGAGGGCACCGACCCTGACGACACGCCACGTCACCGGCTCAAGAGCAAGGTCAAGGGAAATGCCCAGAGCGATGTGGCCTTCAGCAGTCCGCTGGTAAGATGATCGCTTAGTCAGGAAGAAAAGGCAGATATTTAATTCATAGTGGGGTCAGGTTATGGGTTTTGTCCGTCTTGATATTATAATGCGAGGTCACAGGAAGCCACCGTGGGGAAAATGGTGATCAGCATTTTGTTTGCTCATGCAGGAGGTGTTGTCGTCAGGTAGTTGACTCAAGGCCACCCAGAGGGGCACACAAATTAGACTCATTCTTCTTGATTAACAAGTGTACTTGCAGTTATAATCATGACTGAGTAGCACAAATAAATGGCTCAAAATCAAACATGAGCATTGATTGTGAACTGGCCCACTACTATCAACCTAATGTAGGGAGCCGGGGCGGTTATTCACAAGTCTTCTCTTACCACTCTTATGTAAAGGGAATTTAATCATAATGTCCTTGTTGAGTTTATGATGATGTCTTACCATAAAAACAGAATTAAGAATGCATTTATCTGTATGGAAATGTAACTTTATCCACCCATCCATTTATTAAAGTACTGTAGTTACCTTGCATGGTGAGGAGGAACTGGAGCACGGATTGTGCAAGGGGCAGGATACATACTGGACAGGCTGCTGGTCTATCACATGATCATTGTGTTAAAAAGTAATTAAAAAGTAATTAGATAAGCAGTCTTATTGGGCAATTAGCAACGATACATAAATGTAATTGTCATGTATGTTTCTAAGATCTAGAAATTTGAACTTTTACCCAATGACCTATTTTAAAAAAATTATTTTCCATGTCTAAATACCCACTCAAAAGACCTCAATGTGTCATTTGTTTACCAAAATCTCACCCATCCTTGTGTCAAAAGGCCTCATGGCCCCTGTCCCCGCCGCAGATGGCCGAGCTGCTAGGTGTCAGTGATAAGCACATCCATTTTGGCTCAAAGTTGCCCCTGTGTCTGTGACGGGACATATGGTCATGCTGGGCAGTGTTCGGCACAGACCACTGATGTCACATAAACTGTAAATGTGCACTATTGATTAGTCATAGTCGTCCTGATGTACAGTACAGTAGCTCTGTGCCTATTTTTGTCCACAGGGCAAAGAGAGGTCTGGAGACACAGGCTGAGACAGAAAAAGTCTTGTGTTTATTCCAGCAAGGCGGCACAAAGCCCATCTTTGGTTTTCCTCATGCTGTGTCTCTAATAGAGCAGAACGTTTGTATGAATGAAAACTTCCTCCCTTCCTCCTGTCCCCGTGTCCTTCCTGCAACAGTTCCTTGTAGCTACATGAGCAAACAAAACTGGATACAAATGTTAAAAGCCTGACACTTTATCAACATGAGCTTTTAATTAAAAAAACAGATTAACTTTTACTCCAACAGGAAACTGAGGTGATTCCAGACAGGAAGCTGCTTCAGCAGACTAGTAGGGCAGGGAGCAGCCGCGGCAGCCGGAAGACAGATCCGTACCTGGACTTCTTTCTGGGCCTCGCCATTTGCAACACGGTGGTGGTTTCCATGGCAACAGCTCAGAGACAGAGGGTGAGCGCTTCGTTTACTGTGGAAGTAGTGATGGAGGCACAGTCAGGAGAGGAGAGATGGAGGCACAGTGAGGAGAGGAGAGATGGAGGCACAGTGAGGAGAGAGGAGAGATGGAGGCACAGTGAGGAGAGGAGAGATGGAGGCACAGTCAGGAGAGGAGAGATGGAGGCACAGTCAGGAGAGAGGAGAGATGGAGGCACAGTGAGGAGAGGAGAGATGGAGGCATGGTGAGGAGAGGAGAGATGGAGGCACGGTGAGGAGAGGAGAGATGGAGGCACAATGAGGAGAGGAGAGATGGAGGCATGGTGAGGAGAGGAGAGATGGAGGCATGGTGAGGAGAGGAGAGATGGAGGCATGGTGAGGAGAGGAGAGATTGAGGCATGGTGAGGAGAGGAGAGATGGAGGCATAGTCTGGAGAGGAGAGATGGACAGATGATTTGTTCTCTTGAAACTCCAGTATGCAAACTTGTTTTAAAAAATGGCAAACTTTTCTACTAGAAAGGAATCTATTAATTGTCTCATTCATTATATAAAATAGATCTTTAAACCTGGTGCCCAGCCATGTGGCTGCAGTACTGCAGCAAAATCTCCATAATTGAATCAGTAACACACACACAACAATGAAGTTAAAATTCTTCTTATTAACCTCAAACAATTATTTTAATTTGGAAAGTTCTCTTCAATTGTTTAGCTTTAAGTTTCTGTACGTTCGTCAGTGGTCAGTGCTAATTTTCTTTCATCTTTTAAAGCCCCAGTTGTAAAGATTCTCAGTCCTCGCTAAATCAGCCACATAAAGGGAGATTTGCAGGGGCAAGCAGGGTTGTCTTTATTAATTTTAGTGCTCGCTGCTCTTGACTGTGCTGTTCTCAGGTCTGGCAGATGGGAGAAACTCAAGGTTTTCCCTTGAGTTTGTAATTAAAGGTAAAATTACAAAAAGAAACAAAGTGGAAATGGATGAAACGGTTTTAAGAGTGTTTTTGTGTTATCACCACATATGTGTGTCTGGGCTAAAGGGTGATATAAAAACACTATATGACATACAAATGTCTGTTTTCTTTGCTTCACTTTTTCAGGTGAGTGGGTTTCCGCACTCTGGTCAGGAAAACAACTCACAGGATACTTTGACAGAGTCTGTCTCTCTTCGCCATATTTTCACCTTCTCGCGGTGCAAGCCTAGAAATCGCACCATATTAGAGGACTCAGTTGTAGAGGAGGACTATTTTAACCCCCCTGTAACAAAAGAGGAGGCTGGAGACACCAACGGGCTCCAAATGTGTTCGCTCCATGCTCCGTCCGACAAGACCTCAGATAATCTGAGCTATGAGGCAGAGAGTCCAGATGAGGCAGCCCTGGTGTACGCAGCCAAGGCATATGGCTTCACCCTGCTGGACCGCACCCCTGACAGTGTGACGGTGAGGCTCCCGTCTGGCGAGGATCTGGTGTTTGAGGTGCTGGACACCTTGAACTTTGACTCCAACAGGAAGAGAATGTCTGTTTTAGTGCGACACCCAATCACCAAAGAGAATGTGTTGTACAGTAAAGGTGCAGACTACGCCATCATGGAGCTACTCGGTACACACTAGTGTAACTACACTAACACACATTTAATAAATGATGCCTTTATTAGTCAATACGGAGATACCTTGGGTCATTTCATAATTCACTATGAAACCATATAAATGAATCTGTGTCATATTATTTTCAGAACATCTCAGTGGGAAGCAGAAGAATATGGCAGCATGTACTCAGCATCACCTCAACTGCTACGCTAAAGACGGGCTACGTACACTTTGCTTTACAAAGAAGGTGCACAATCTGATTTGTTGATATTTACCAGCATCGTTGTCTAATACTAGATGAGCTCTGCTCATCTTCTTTCTGCGTGTGCTGCAGATTGTGAGTGACAAGGCGTATGAAAGCTGGTCAGTGAACAGACAGAGAGCTCTGGCTGCTATTGACAACAGAGAGGAGCTTGTTATGGACACTGCAGTGCAGCTAGAGACAGGCCTCTCCCTGCTCGGTAACATGCATCAGCCCAGCACACGCCATTCATGATAAACACTTGAAAAACATACTGTGTATCTGTGTGATAAGCTCTGTGTTTGAATAATGCTTGACCTTGGATACATGTCCTCCTGCAGGGGCGACGGGCATTGAGGACCGTCTTCAGGAGAGCGTCCCAGACACCATCGTGGCACTGCGGGAGGCAGGGATCCAGGTGTGGGTGCTGACTGGTGACAAGCTGGAGACAGCTGTCAACATCGGCTATGCCTGCAGGCTACTGGAAGAGGAAGACCTGTTGATTAACATGAGCTGCAAAAACAAGGTGAGGAGGCCGCTGTTGAGGGTTGGCTGTTTGACTCAGAGCTGCTTTTCTTTACTGATTAAGTGATGCATGATGGAACATCTCTGATTCACTTCTTACACCACAGTTACAATTTGTTTTGGAAAATCAAACATGGCATGAAAGTGTTAACGTGTTAAAGTGTTTACGTTAACGTTAGCGACATTTTTTTAAATAAGCCAGTTAGGTTAGCTGAAACCAGTGGGAAACAGTTTGCTGGCTCCGTCCAATGGTAACAAAATCTGCCCACTAGTGGTTGCCAGGCAACAAGCAGAGACTCCAGGAGGATAAAGAGTCAGCCTCATTTTTACACATTAGACAAACGCGATACAATCAATTAATGAGCCTTAGAGGTACTTGTAGGTACATTTTCTTACCTTTGTACAGAGCCGGGTTAGCTGTTTCCAAGCTTTATGCTAAGCTAAGCTAATCGCTATTTGCGGTATCTTCATATTTACCATACTGAGTGGTGTAGATATTCTCTATAATAGACTAAACTTGTACCACTTGATGATCTTTAGCATATACTCTGAAACATCAGATTTTACTTGGAGGTAGTTAGTTAATCTTACATCAGGAGATCTTACCAGACCTGTCAAATAATATCAAAGCTGGTATTAATGTGGCAGGATTTTTCAAAATAAAGTGTTATGTACTGTAATAGATTCGTGATTAAGGAAATAAGGTGGGGGGAGCTGGCGAGAATAATTATCATGATATCAGCTTAATAGGGCTGTAAGAATATTAATTTCCAACTTAAATTACAGGTTCATTTATTTCTTGTTATTTTTTTAAATACAAAACATAAAATCACATATTGCTTACATGTATGCCTGAATATTTGAGCCACTCAATATGAGGTGCATGAAGTTTTGAAATGAATAAATCAAAAGTAAATACAGTAAAGACCTGGAGTGTTAGAAGCTAACAAGCACCACAAACTCCTCTTGAACTTTGTCCTTTTACGTGATTTATATTTCACACATCACACACGTGACCGTGTTTCTTAGGGCAGCATTGGCTGTTTTTGATGGTCATTCAGTCTCGTATTTTCCAAGCACTATAAGTTCAGGAGGTTTTACCTGAGAGTCCGTCTCCCTCCAATTTAAATGGCCAAAGATTTTCGACCACTTTTACATTTAACTAAAGGTCAAACGCTCACATTTTCATCTGAGAAAGACAAGGTGTCAGGTGTGGGCCCTGCTTCTCTGAGGTCATTAAAGACCCTTCATAACAACCCGACCATGTCCTAATCATCCCCGGCCTCAAATAGACTGAAATTACTCGTCGGCTCTAACGGATACACGGGGAGCTTTCTGGAACAAAGGCCCTGCTGCGCTCCTCTCAGACGGGACTAGTCATTGATGATGAATGGAGGGAGATAGCCCCAATACAATATCTACTGCTTTCATATCTAATTACCAGTCTAATTTTCAACCCCCGGGGGAAATACCCCTTTGCTCATATTGGTAATGAACTTTTTTTTTTCTTGTTTACCACTGTAACTCAATGACCACCTGAGGGGTGCATTCCCACAGTCATCTCCCAACCACACCTAATGGAATTTAACCAGCATTAGATAGATTATCTAAAAACAGGATGTGACCCAATTTTTTTTCATCATGTCCCTTTTCCTTTTGGCTAAGAGGCTGGAGTTATTTACAGACAACAATGATGAGTCCGATGGGACCACAGCCTCATAATTGCTTCTAGTCAGACATCATGAACATGACTCAACAGCATAGAGAGTTCTTTTTATGGATTATAAGAGATGTCACATCCAAGTTAAAACGTATCCTCTTACTTTGTATTTTCTTTAGCTCACCACACTACCTTGTGTGCAGCTAAGTCAAATTAATTAAAAATGTGTAACAGGCCTGCCATGAGCAATACTTTTTTCATAATGGATTCATTTGATGATTATTTGATCAATATATTGTTTTGTCTATAAAATGTGTAAACTGGTAAAAAAAATATAAGATGCCCATCCCATGTTCTCTTTAACCAAAGATGATATCTTCATATTATTTATTTTGTCCAAGCAACTGTACAAATTGAAAACCAAAAATCATCATTTTAGCATTTTTGATTGGAAAAATTATTTAAATAATCAATTGATTATCAAAATTGTTGGCGGTTATTTCTCCACAACTAATTGTTTCAGCTCTAGTTTGTAAAGTTTCATAATACTGATCACAACAAATGTTGTTTTTGCAGCTCGAGTGCACATCCATCTTAGACTGCACACTGGAAGAGGTAAGGAGGTACAGCGAGGACCCTCGCAATGTGGATACAACCCAAGACATCTCTCTAGTGATCGACGGACGCAGTCTGACCATGGCTCTGTCGTCAGACCTGCAGGACCGCTTTGTAGACCTGGCGAAGCGCTGCCGCTCTGTGCTCTGCTGTAGAGCCACGCCCTCACAGAAGAGCAGAGTGGTGAAGGTGGTCAGGGACAAACTCAAGGTCTTGACCCTTGCTGTTGGTAAGAGCATTTTCTTGAGCTTTTCACACAAATCCAAATGCGTTAATCTAATACTTTTAATCTCACTTCAATGCACAACAGAAGAAACAATAAACTATAAAACAGTATCACATTAAAGTGAAAAACAAAATATAACTTGGATAGAACTTTAATATTGTCATTTTCAGCAAAAAATCCATGAATTGATTTATGATTGTATATTGCTGGGATGTTGTTGTACTTACATATACAATAGGCTTTTTCCACAGAAGACATTTAGACATCTCACATTAGGAAAAGCACAGGTGTAAAGCAGGCTGGATTCCATTTAGCTGCTTCAGTTTCAGGGTCCTGGTATTGTGCATGCTGGCTCATCATCACACTGTCAGTACATGGTGGGACACTTAGTTAATGTAATTAGTAAAACCTGTGCTTTTCCAAATATGACAAGTCACAATGTCTGCTGTGAAGAAGACCTGAGAAGAAAAGCAAAAAGCATTGTATGGGAAATAAATGGTTTTGTGAGAGAATGCAAAGTGTTGCAGGGGAATAGAAAGGTAATTCTTTCAGGTTTTCTACGGCTCTTGATCTTATCCTCTTTGAGCCATTGAACCTCCTGAAAAATGTATTGTTGGACATTCGACAAGAAAGTCTCATTTACCTTGAATAAAAACAAATTCATACCAAAACATCAAATTAAATTACTCCATGTACTGATGCAGATTTTTGTACTCCTGGCAGACTTACATTTTAAATTGGCGTCCTGCATTTTATTTGTGTTAATGTATTAAGACCCATCAAGTCAGTGGGTTTTAATACATTTTCTTCTTTCATAGACTCCTGCTGTTGAACTGATATTCACTCTGTGGTTTCAGGTGATGGTGCAAATGATGTCAACATGATCCAAGCAGCGGATATCGGCATCGGGCTATCCGGTCAGGACGGCATGCAGGTCTGAACTGTGGTCTTTAGCTTCAAAGATGTTATTTGTTTCTTCTGCTGCTCTCACTGTCCAACACTCCATGTCTTCTGCAGGCGGTCATGGCGAGTGATTTCGCTATATCTCGCTTCAAACACCTGAAAAAACTTCTCCTGGTTCACGGACACTGGTGCTACACTCGACTTGCCAACATGATCATTTTCTTCTTCTATAAGAACGTGGTGAGTGTCGTCTCTACGTCGGAGCGCTCTGCTGTCTGAATAAACTCTTGATTTCTCATGTAATCATCTACACTTTCATGTGCTTCCCAGGCCTACGTGAATCTGCTGTTCTGGTATCAGTTCCTCTGCGGCTTCTCTGGCACTGCCATGATCGACTACTGGCTGATGATTTTCTTTAACCTCTTCTTCACCTCGGTACCGCCCATCATGTTTGGGATTATGGACAAAGATGTGTCTGCGGAGATGCTGCTGGGTGTTCCTGAACTGTACAGGACCGGACAGGGTGCAGGGGTCAGTCACAGTAGCAGCTACATGTTTATAGAGTCATGAGTAAAATGCACCAAATATTTTGCTAATTTGATATATTCAAACGTGTGTGTGTGTGTGTGCGTGTGCTTGTTTAGGTATACACGTTTTCAACTTTCTGGATCTCCATGCTCGATGCCTTCTATCAGAGTCTGGTGTGCTTCTTTATTCCATATTTGGTAAGCGAAAGTTTGAATTCTCTGTCTTCGATAAAATATTGTGCAAAGTGGCCGTTCTGTTATGGTGCGTCCTCTGAGTTACCAGTTATTTTACTGGTTCAGTGCTTTTTGCCTAAAATTTGACCACATGTATTTTCTCCCCTACAGGCTTACCAGGATTCAGACATTGATGTTTTTACCTTTGGAACTCCTTTGAACACAATTTCTTTATTTACCATCCTGCTGCATCTGTCAATAGAGATCAAAGCCTGGGTGAGTGCTGAACTGATGGATATCTATTTCTAGCTATAATCACGGTATATACTCCCCGTGAACCTATACTCTTATCATTAAATACTTTCAGTCTGGTCTGCATTTTATACTAATACGATGACAACAACAACAATATGGTAATTTCAAACATTATTTACATTAATCCAGTGAATGCAATCAAAACAAATCATTAACAGACAGTTTATGATGAATTGGGTTGTAATCAAAATATGTAATTGTTGTTTTTGCATCTGTCTTGCAGACGGTGGTTCATTGGGTAATCATGCTGGGCAGTGTGGCATTGTACTTCATAGTGACGCTTGCCTACAGCGCCATCTGTGTCACCTGTAACCCTCCGTCCAACCCGTACTGGATCCTCCAGAGCCAGATGGCCGACCCCATGTTTTACCTTATCTGCATCATCACCACTGTGGTGGCTCTGATGCCCAGGTACTAGTCATTTAATGTGCCCTCGTCATTGTTACTGAATAGCTTTTTTAATGTAAATATTTGAATATATTCTGCCTCGCTCTATTGCATACCTCTGAAGAGCATTGACGCAGCAGATTGCTTTTTATAATTGTCCCATTTTCCTACTTTTATCTCCTGTTATATGTATACTTAAATTTGGGCAAATGTCAACAATTTTCACACTGACATCTACAGGAACTAAAATGAGAAAGAAATATAAACTGCAGGACATTTCCTATCACATATTGCACTTGGAAAGGCAATAGTTAAAAAGCAGCCTACTGTACACTGCTGTGCTGGTAATTTACAGTCAGGAGAATGTTGAACTCTTCACTGTTTTTCCTGATAAGATGACATGTGATAAAGAAAATATGGTTATCATCGGATGCCCCGCTGGATCTTACAGGTTGACACTCTCTAACTAGGGCTAATTCTTCTTTGTTTTAAATCAATCAGTTATTTAGTCTTTAAAAAGACAGAAAATAACACCTCACACCTCGGCAAGGCAACGTCTTCAAATGTTCTGTTTTGTCCGACCAGCTGTCCAAAACCCAAAGATGTCCCATAACCTCACTATGAATTGTAACGCAAGATCATTCGTGACATTGCTCATTTTTAGGAGTTACAAATCAAAAAGGTCCGAAACCGCTGTTGTAGACCTCTTTCCGCTCCCGTTTAAAATGAATCAGCCTCATAATTATATTATGTATTTGTTATTTTGGAGTTTGTATTTGACTTGTGCAGTGTGAACTGCTAAAGGTTGTTGTGGTGCATAAACAGTCTCGGCAGATTTGTAATTAAATAATGTTAATTGTGAAGTCCAGGAATGATCTGCACCACGGCTCGGTCTTTCCTCCTGGTTGCTGATGCGTCTGAAAGTGCTGATATTTAGAGGGAATGCTCTGATTTACATCAAAGAGCCGCATATTTTTCACTGGCCTACTTTCTCACCACCACACTCTCTCCCCCAGGTACATGTTTCATGTGCTGAAGAACTCTATCGCCCCCTCCCCGCTTGTGCAAGCCAGGCATCTGGACCGGCTGGACCCCTTCACGCGGGACGAGTGGATGAAGGAGTGGAGGAGCTTCAGGAGCGCGAGCCGGGTCAAACGCTCCAGGTTGTCTACCCCACCCTCTCCCACCCTGGAGACCCCTGCGGAGATTTATCCCCAGTCTGTCACCCCCTCTGATGTCATGTAGGATGAATTCCCACTGAATGTCATGACAAAAAACGATCAGAGGCCTGTAAACACACGAGAAACAGACTCGTTGGCAACTTGAAGGAATAAGATGATTGTTTATTCAGTAAATGGTAAATATTCCTCATGATTGGATGTATTCTAGTGTGTTTTCATTTTTGGGGAAATACTCTTCTTCTTGGACAAATCATCGATTGGGGTGATGAGTGAGTAAAAGTATGTATGCCCTCTCCTCCTTACCCTCCTCATAACAAGCTGCCATAGTGAACACATAAGCCTGTTACTTTCCTGATGGGTTTTCCGAGCACAGTGGTAACCCACTTAGTCATGCCACCCACCCCTCCAAAACGTGGCACTTTTCCAGAACAAAATGCTTAGCTTGTTTAATATATTCCTCTCAGATACCCTAAACAGTCACAATGCATCCTGTCACTGAGGCGAACACACGTGTGTGCTTTACAGATTCTGGCTGTTTAGAAAAATGTATGTTTTTATACTGTAGGCTGGGCCTGTGACTGGTTGTGTGAATCTTTTTGTATCTGTAAATTTTGCTATGAAAATACACTAAGAACAATTAAATTGTGTTTATCCCAAATATGTGTTTGTGTGTGTGTCATCTTACTTCAGATGCAGCATCTAGATCAAACAAGAAAAAAACGGTAAATTCAGAAGAATCAGAAGAAAAGGCTTCTAAGCTACAAAGTCTTATGCCTTTTTTTTATGTAAATGGAGTGTGCACAAGCCGAATCCACTTGTAAAAAGGGCTGAGTTATCATTGGCATACTTCATTATACAGTAGCAGCTCTGCTTATATAAGGTCCCACTGCCTCCACTTAGACCATTGCTGCTCTCTAGTGTTGAAAAGGAAAAGCTGCAGAAAGGTCAAAAGGGACGAAGTCAGAAAGCTTGATCATATAGTCACAAGAATACGCAACATATAAGTGAATTAAACACATTTTAATTGATAATTAAATACAGCATAAATAAAAGAAAGTTACAATGAAGCATCACATACATAAACAAATGTGACAAATTAGTAAATACAAGGCTTTTTTTAGAGCTGTTTTATTGTATTGTGTTACAGTGTGGCACTGAATACTGTGGGCCTATTGTGTTAATGCACCAGAACTATTTTGCACATAATAAATTGCACAAAAAAATGAAAGGAAATGCAACCAGAAGTTTGGCACAAAGGCCTCTATTTTGAAGACAGTAGACGTCTGGTGTGAAAACCTTCATCTGTTTAGCCTGTGCTTCTAGATGAACAGAGATGTCCATCTATAATTAAAAAAAATAAAGTGCATCTGAAATCAGAAAAAAAATTATTATATTATTATATTATATTTTCGGGACATGGAGATATATTTAGTGCAGAAAGAATGAAGTTTGTTGGGTTGAAATAAATTGTCTCATCAATTTAGATTTCTGACTAAAAGCTTATAGAACACAAGCTTTAAATTTGAAAGGAAAATAAAATCTATTTCAGCTGTGAAAAAAGAGGATAGTAGTATGACTGGTTTAGATTATTTCAGATGTTTTAACTGACAACCATAAACCAAATTAAAATGTTGTAGTGTAAGATTAATTATTAAACTCCACTGTCACAAACACACATAGGCAAGAATACAAAAGACCCATTTGTGTTTTACATGAAGCTGTGACTCTTGCTCTGCCTCAACTGGAAACTCCTGTTCTCCCTGTGCTGCATTAGTATCTCTATTGTTAGTCCTCTTTCTAACAACGGCTGGATGCACCAGACGCGGCCTCAAACTATATCCTGGGAACTGTAGGAAATCACCAACTTAAGGAGGAGTAGATGAGACGATTTGAGACTTAAGAGGGATGTAGCGATAAGGTAAAGAATAACATTTCACCACAACAAAAGGCCTGGAATTCACTGAACAACACACACTGATGATAATATGGGAAATGCTGTTCAGTGTGATGCTTTTTGTATGCTTTTAATATTAGCCAACAGATGACAGATCCACATCCTTTTAAGTCCACAGTTTTTAAGTGAGAAAACATTTTCAGTCTTACATCAAACCTACTGCAGGTAGAAATACAAGTGACAGCTTTAGAAATTACCCATGAACACTAATGACTTACTGCCAAAAAAGAGCCAATCACACTGCAGCCCTCCGCTCTGGCTTCACGTCAGCCTACCAGGTGGGCATCATATCAGGGAACCACATGCGGCCCAGGTGCTTGGACACCTCACTGTTGATCTGCTCCATGTTGTAGCTGCTGTCTGGGATTAACACCTCCTCCATGATTGACAGCTGAGTCAGCCTGCCCCCGCACATCTTTACGAACTCCACAAAGCCACTGCAGGTCACTTCACACTCGCCTAGCCCGATGGCAGTCAGGCTTTTGCAGCGTTCGGCGATGCGGATCAGCTCCTCGTCCAGGGGCTCAAGGCCGTTGGCACACACCACGAGCTCCGCCAGCCGAGGACAGTTCAGTCCGATGCGACCCAGCATCTCTTTGCTAACTGTCCGGCCAAAGTACAGGTGGGTGACGGGAGTCTCCTCGAGGAAGAAGGGCTCATGCTCATCCTCATAGAGGAAGAAGTACATGACGATGTTGACCTTGGGCGAGTGTTGGACCAAGGCCTCCCAGCTGCTTCCCTTGATGGTGTGAAAGTGTGTCTGCCCGGGGTTTTCGCTCACCACGTCAATGCGCAGGTGGTCCAAGTGGACGTGTTTTTCAGAGGAGAGGGCCAGCAGGAGCTCGTCACTCAGGAGATGGTAGTTCAACGCCAGCTCCCTGAGTCCATGGCACTGGTCTGCTACACACATTATACCTGAGGACAGGAAGAGAAGTCAGAAAAACATCTAAATGGGAAGAGAAACAACAAATCAAACTGATAATCAGCGTGGCTCTAGGGATTCAGTCCACCACTCTGGTCCAGACTGAAATATCATGTATGTTACCTGTGAGATAGTCACAAAGTAAAGCGACATGGAGCATCTTGGTGGCCTAGGGATTAAACACACTGACCATGTAGTTGTAGTTCAAGCCCGGGCCAACACATTTGATGCACATCATTCCCCCTTTCTCTCTCTCTTCTCATTTCTGGCCCACTCTCTACTCTGCTGACTAATAAAAGCAAAACCCCCAAAAAATAATGTATTCAAAATGTGCAGTGACCTGCTGGGGAGACATGAGGACAACTGCTCATCTTCAGCAACTTTAGGGTATTGCTGTTGTTGGCAACCAGCACCTTCAGGGACGGGTCGTCCACTGGCGTGTCATCCATCTTGATGGAGGACAGGGACTTGGAGTTGACAAACACCACTGTCAGTGCAGACACAAAGTGGGCCTGAGGAGGGACAAACTATGCTGATTAAACCACAATGTCTTACACCAAATAAATGTGCAGGATTTTATTTTCATCACTGTACAGCCATGACTTATGAGGGATAAGGGAGATGATAGCAGACATCGGACAAACGGAGGACATGATGGGACTAATCGAGCTCCCTGCATGTAACAAACGAGACAGCAGTGAAAGTGTTGACATGTGCGTTTGAAGCACAGGCAGCCTCTTACCTGACATACATCCATGAAGCTGGGCCTCGCTGTGGAAATCAACCCCAGGGTCTTAATGGTACAGTTCACCAGCTGGGAGAGAATGTCACAGGCCGCCTCTGCAGATTCTGTGCAGCTGTCCACCTGATTTACCAGCAGTGAGTCACCATTTCGGTAAAAATAAGAAAGCACACAAAAATGAGGAACGGAAAGACGGAGGTGCACTACACAAATAATCTCAGCCCTGAATGTGTGTTAAGCCCACTAATGCCTAGGCAGCTGATGCGTCATGATCAATTCTGCAGCAGATGGTTTGGATTAAGGAGAAGACATATTGTTTTCAAGACAGCTGTGTTGTGAAAATGGAGGAGGAGGTGAAAGGAGAGAGATCAATGGGTGACAGCAGGGAAGGGCTCTTACCTTGAAGCTGACATACTGCAGGTGCTGGGCATGCTTCTTAATGATCTGCTGAATGAGGTTAGGGTGAGTGGAGCGCAGGTAAGACGTGGCCGGCTGATTGAGCTCAAACTCAAACCTCCTCCACAGATCAGGGGTGTGAAAGACGTGATTCCAGCAGCGACACACCGACGAGGCCCTGGCCCGGTCAACGAGGGACAGATGCTGGAAGATCTGCAGGACGGCTAGGTGGGGCAGGTTACCCCAGTCCTCTGCTGAAGTCAGGGCGAAGCTGGACGTCCCTCGCTTCTGTCTTTGAGCCCCCCTCTCATGAGAGGGGAAGCGCTGGCACTTTGATTTGAGACTTGTCCTTCCTCGTTTCATTCTGAAACAAATCAGCACACAGTGGGATCATGAGATTAGGAACTGTTCAACGTTTAAATGCAAACAGTAAAAGGATGCAATGCACAGCGCGTACATCAGCATATCAGTGCATATTATACTTAACTATCAGTGTGTTGTAATCTGACAGTGACAGTACTATCTCACACTCTAAGGTTGTGGCTGAAACCAGGAAATGTTCAGTTAATTTCACCTAAAATAAGTTAGTTTCTCCCTCCCTCTCTACATAACATATTGTAGTTGTTTAATAACTAGACCTCAAGAGGTAAGTTACATTTTCAAATAGCACATTAACACTGCGTGTCATTTCTTTAAAGGGGGTTTTAAGGATAAGCATCTTCATCTCTGTAAAATCTTTGTTTTTAACCCCATGTTGGTAGTTTACAACAACAGTTCAATTTGAATCAGTATCATTATGGAAAATGTCTATTTTAATCTTTTACCAGATGTTTTTTGCACACACTGACTGGTATTAATTCTATTAAATCAATGATACATAATAATAATAATAGTTTATCAAATTAACTACTCATTCGATCAGTTAGTTTATACTAAATCTACCACTAATTTCAGTGAAAATGCAAAGTGCACTGCTTGTGTTCTTCCATTGTTTACTGAGTTGATAAAGTACAACTTATAGCAAGCTTGCCTGCATGAACATGAAAACTGCCTCTGTTGATATCGGACCTGAGGCGTCTAAGACTGGTCAAATACTGTATACGGATGAATATTGAACAATAGCAAACTCACCTCAAAGACTTGTCAAAACACTTGGACAAATTAAAAGTGATGCTGAAGCCTTTCTACAGAAATGTTCCCGCAGTCTCGTGGAGGCAATCTTTCACTGGGTCCCAGGATAATTTGATGTAATCTACACGCATGAACCACCAATGTGAAATGCCACACTCATTAGGTTCATAACATGGTGACTCATAATTTCCACAACATTGCAGTATTCATCTGAAGGTGTGCTGATTCTGTCATCACTGGCCTGCTTATTTATCTTCTAAGTCGAGTTACATTTTATGTATCTTCCCTTCATAAACCAGACCTGTTCTGAGGCTTCAGATACAGGGTTTCAACAGTAAATTGCTTGTAAAGTCTGCTCACAGATATGTTGGTCCAGCCTATAAATAACAATTTACAACATATTTTGTATACTGCGCACTTTCAGACAGCTCGTTAAGAGCATGATACAAATACTGTAGATACAAACTGCACTGCGTGTGTTTAAATCATTCCTATCAACCTGTCCATTGAACTGAGCTGAACTACAGTGAAACGCACCTGTGGCATCAGGTACACGTTTACTGAAATCTGGACGCTTTATAAGCACAAGACTCATACAATTATAACACACAGAACAAACGGCATGAAAACACGTGTTACTTACATGAGCGGCTTACAAACTACACGTTCCTCCCGGTTTTGTGCTCTGCCGTTTGAGGAGACAGCGTTCACTCGGAGCCATGGCTGGAGATCGGTGGAGAAACGCTGTTGATATAGGACAACGGGAGCAGCTCCCATAATAAGCTCTCCTCACGGCTTTAGCGCACAGCTTGACGTGCAGCCCCGGTACACGTGAGCGGGAGAAAACATGGATCTGCTCGGCTGCATCTCTCACCACCAGCATGCATGCAGAGAAATAGAGGCAATATCTACATCAACAGGGGGAATACACGCTCACTGCGTTTTCTTATTAAAGCGGCTTTACCTTTGCTTTGACTCATTGATTTACGTTTGTGTGTGTGCGTGCGTGTGTGTGTGTGCGTGCGTGTGTGTTGTGACCCACGAGCGGAGAGCACTAGATACTATGTGCATGCATACTGGGAAAATAGGTCAGTGTGTCAAAATGTGTATGTGTGTGAAAGAGAGAGATTTAAAAAAAAAGTCCATTAATCTAACTTTAAAGCAAGGTGTCTATTTATGCGTTCCAATGCCCATACTACCATACTATTTAGTAAGCCAGGGAAAAAACAGATTTAGTAAGTTTCCAATGCCTATGTGTCACAGTAGGCCAAAAATACCAGGATGTCCTGCTGCATCAGGTCACATTTTGCAGTATGCAAGCAAGCATACTTTTCTGGCTATTCTGAACCAAAATCCTCTGTGTAGTGGATATATGAGACAGATAGTCAAAGTTAAAGCTGCAGTGTTATGATGCAGTGGTATGTCCCAAATACTACATGCAACGGTACATACTTTGTAAGGGCAGCTGCAGTAAAAGTAAAGAAGTCAAAATATCCGATTTGGAACGTCTGTGTGTGTTTGTGCTTTGACAGGCCGACCGTCAATCATTGGTGCTTCTTCATGTTTTCGTTTCCTTTTGATGCGGCTAATTAAAGCCTATTACGCATTTATGATCCTTGTTTTGCATTAATGAGCGCAATATAACAGTAGTCTCTCTGTTAACCTCTCCTAACCCCATGGCCAGGCTTTAGCCTTTATTTTGACAGCAGGTTCCGATTAATCAATTCCTCTCACTGTCATAAAGACTACTTTATGATTAATGTAGAACATGTGTATACTTTTACTGACTTGGCAGCCCTGATGTTGTTTTTGTGTGTTTTCCATTTTGCATACTTGTTTGTGTGTGTGTGTGTGTGTGTGTGTGTGTGTGTGTGTGTGTGTGTGTGGCCATTGAATCCACTTTCGACCCACTTTCAACCCACTATAGAAAGTGCATGGATGATATCAACGATTACTGATCAGTAAAAACAAGTTTGAACGGAATAAATCAAGCGTAAATTTGCCTGATAGGCTCACACTTCATCTTCATCATCTGTTTGGCAAACACACACAAAAACTCCTAACTTATAAAGTCTTTACTCAAATACAGTCTCAAAAGAGTTCATATAATAGCAAATCATTGTAGGCGTGGAACACTACAATGAAGGAAATGCAGCCTTTACGAGGTCAATTTAGGGTAATATGTGCTATAACTGTCAGGCTGCAACCAACTCTGCTCCCAGTAGACCACACAACACCAACAACACAACAATCTGTGCAATATAAATACACTGTGCAATACAAAACTGATTCTGTCTGTATATATAATAATGCAACACAAAAATTACTCTGTCTGTATATATAATATTTTAGTTATTGTGGATTTTTTACTTCATTACTGTTTTATTACTTATTTACTTATTTATAATACTTGTTTTGATCTTGTTTTTTACTATGTCTCTTGTTTGCACTATCCACTATGCTGCTGTAATTCTGTAAATTCCCGCACTGCGGGACTAATAAAGGATTATCTTATTTTACCTTATTTACCAAAAGCATTGCCATGTCTTGCCTAACTGTAGCCCCGCCCCTTGGAAGTGACGCGGCACTGTGTGCAGACGTCAGTCACGTCGGCATGAGAAGCAGAAAGAAAAACAGCTTCACGGGCCAATTTTAGTGATAACGGGGGAAAACAATAACCTCAGCACCACTCGTTATAGCTCGCAGGCGGAACGATGCGTTGCTCGTAACGTAGGGTGAAGAGAAGAAGCTAGCTAGTTTAGCCACGCAGTGTGCCAGTCATTATCCTGGAGCTAACTAACGGCTAACTGGTCTCTGAAGGTAAGAGTTTTTATTTCATGCTAAAACTAACCTTAACGTTAGCCGTCTTTTAACAGAGGACATGTGTTGTCTACAATGTTAAGGAAAGAGTACTTTTACTTTTGACACCTCAGCTGACTTTAAGTAGACAACACACTGTTTTGTGAGTTTAGTAACAAGCTATTTTTAAGTTTAACTCATTATTTAGCCTTAGCTAAGTCAAGCTATCCTGCGGTTAAAGTTAGCTAAATTAAATCCAAGAGTTTGAGGATCTTACTCACTAAGTTGCTGTCACCAAACTTTGTTACAAATCATATGTAGAGCATGTAGTTACTTCTATGTGCTGGGTAGTAGTAGTGTTAACAGAGAGTGAATTGCGTTTGTTTTCTCTTTGACTTGATTCTTAGCCTTGCTGTTTTTTGGTCCCGTTAGTCCGTCAGTTGTATTCGTTAACATTAGGTGTCTCAGATGTAAACTATTCTCCTCAGTTTGTGATTAGATGGCCATCATTACGTCCAGAAGGGTTGTAGTCCACGTGAACAAGCTTGACCACTAAGATGACCTGTGGCAGGTGTCTTTCTAAACTCACGAGGAGCTGATTATTGTGACTATTCTCACATTTCAGCTTGTACCAACATTCACTTGGTAAAAGCAAAGTTCTAGGTTGGCACCAGATTTGTTGAATGACAGTAATGTTACCTGCCTGTTAAAACACTTGAGGAGATTGTAGTTTTAATGAAAGTGACATCATGTTCAGAGCTTTAATCTGCAGTGGCTTGATGACCAAATAATTTTATCCAAACAAGGAAACAGTAACCTTTCCTTTTATTTTTACATTGTGTACGAAGAAGCTTTGTATTATTTTTCGTTTTTTGTCAAGTGACTGTGAAAATACTGGTCACAGGTTATATAAATTAATCTAATTTGGCAGCAATTGTGCAGCTCAAAATGTTTTCCTTTGATAATTATTTGTCAATTTTGAACCTTAATCTCCAAGAAATGGCAAAACAAATTTGATTCACCTTTTTAAAAAGGGTGAAATATCCTGGTTTCTTTAAAATATGTAGTATTGTGAAGTGCTTTCATGTCTCGTTTTGGTGCGAGGCTTATAGTTGTAGTTACAAAACAGTTTTATTGAAACAATTAGTCTCCTCACAGCTATCAGGTCCTGTGGTTCTCAGTAATATATTAATGTCTCTTCTGATTCAAATAAATGATTTAATGCCTAGTGCCGTCTAACTATATTGAAAGTGTATAAAGACCTCAATCTTGTGTTGAAGTGACTGTCATAATGTGTTTTTACTAGCCTGTTGTTTCATTCTGTGAGAAGAGCCGACCTTTCTCTTTTAGCATTTGTGCAGACTTTGTGACGCATTCCCTCTGTGTTACTGTTTTAAAGCCAAGGACTTGAAGTTTGATGTTAAGTTTCCTTTTTGTGTCCTTTTTAGAGAAAGCAATCATGACACAGAAAGTCAATCTGTGTTCGGTTTCCCTGGGAGTGGTGGGAATGACTTGTGGCTCCTGTGTCCAGTCCATCGAGCAGCGCATCGGTTCGCTCCCTGGAGTGATACATATAAAGGTAAATTCTGTCTTTGCAAAGATATAAACACATTTTTACATTTCAAGTCAAACAGCGTTGAGGTGATGAGGACGATGAGGTGCAGTTTAAAACCGGATCTGAAATGACTACCATGGATGTTGTACCATGAACCTCGTTGAAAAGGCAGATATGCATCTATTATTATTTTAACCAAAGGTTCCGGCCCATTTTAGGGTAATGCAGTTTGATAAATCCCACAGTCTTACTCCCTCAGGACTAGCTGGTCTGATATACAACAAAGCAACATCAACAAAGCCATGAGAGATAGCTTAATTGCAATAGTCGTGGTCTGCTGTTTTGTTCATCGTGTGTTTACCCCTCAGGCTAGGGCTAAATGAGAAGATAACGTAATATTGTGCTCCAGATTAAGCCCTGCCCTTTGCAGGACTGTGACAGCAGGTCGATATGCAGTCTGTACCCACAGGAAATGTCATTTATGTTTTAAGAGAATTTAGTTCCTGGTTCATTTTAAGGTAATTGATATAGACATGATCTGGGAGGAGTGAATCGAGTTTTCTTGGTACAACAGTCGTCTTGTTCTTTGCCCTCCGCCGTCTCTCATTCTCAGAAAAAGAATCCAACAGGGAGGGCCACTCACAACAAAATCCCTGCTGTGGTTTGTAACTCATTGTTCAGTCAAGTGATCCCTTCAGTGTGTCACATGTTTCCTTCTTGCTAAAGAGGAAGAGTTAAGGGTCATCATGCTGACAGAACACAATGTGAGCTTGGGCAATGGACTTTTCTTTTTATATATATATATATATGTGTGTGTG